ACACACACACACACAACACAAGCAGGGACAGGCAAACTAAATCATACTATTTGCAAAACCAAATCATGATAAAACACAAGAGCTTGATTACCATTACACTGCTCTCCTTTATGAGAGATGACTGAGCAAGATAAACAAGACCAACTATTTCCTCATCCTTTCACAAAAAAGATAGCAAATCTCCCCGCACATTTCCATATTTACTCATGATTATACCAGCTCTTTGCTATAGACAGGCTTGGGCATGGTGACCAACAGTATGTGACTTTCCCATGTGTTCATTAGCTTGGATCGAGCAGTGTTCCCCCACAGGATAGGTAAAGGGGGATTCTTCTGGCTGTGGAATGCCATTAGAGGTCCAGTGACACGGCCAGACCTACACACTTGTGTAAACAGCTGAGGACAAACTGGCTCAGGTCCAACCAGCTTGAAACCAGTTCTTGCTCTCCCCCTTCCTTTCATTATTACACTTATTCCAAGAGGCACAATTCAAAGCTCTGTGTTGGAACTTTTGACCTCTTGTCCAGAGACTGATAACAACACAGCAACAGAAGAATTATCTTTGAGACTGACCTCCTGTGCTGTTTACAGGTTTACATGCAGTGACTACACAGTTACACAGCTAGCCAACATTTTCAGTAAACATCAGCCAGTGAGCATTGCTCATCCCCAATATGGTTAAGGCGAAGATTTTTGCAAAATCCAACGACTAATCAAGGAAATAATCAGCAGATTAATCAATAATGACTATAATCTTTAGTTGCATTGCTTGAAAAAGGCCTGAAAGGAGTCACTGATTGTCAAAATAGCTGTTGTTTAATTTTCTTCTGAGCAGCTCAACTACAGGACCAGTGTGTAGGATTTAGTGGCATCTAGTACCCTCCTCTTCCAGGCACGAAGGAGAAACTATGGTGGCCACAAAACACGCAAAGAGCGCCAAAGACCCCATCTACACCCAGTGTTTGATTTGTCTGTCCTGGGCTACTGTAGAAATGTGACAGTTCAATATGGCAGCCTCCATGGAAGGCTACCCATGGAATCTCATGAAAAACGCTCATTCTAAGGTAACAAAAACATAATGATTATTTATTTCCAGGTGTTCATGCACCAATTAAAAAAACATAGTTATAGATTTTATTCCATTTCTGCAAATAGATCCTCCTGAATGATACACACTGGACCTTTAATCAGGCACTCGGTGCAGCTCTAAACCATTCTAAAAAGTCCTTTTATCAAGACGTAAAGATGGTTTAATGCTGGCTATACCATACCAATCCTGTGATTTCTGGCACTAAAGTGGTCCAAATGAGAAACAAATACAACTGGCACTGTTCCAAGTTTGGGTAATGATTGAAAGACTGAGATTGTGGCAATCAAGTAACCAAACCTGAGTTTCCTTTGTAAGCTGTCTGGGCTCAAGCGAATAAACTTTGGAGCAGAGCTGCTGCTTCTTCTTCTCATGGACAGAGCCCTCTGGACGCCTCACTGTGGAGGTATTCCTGGCACGTCCAACTAAGAGGACACCCCTTGGTAGACCCAGATCATGCTGGGAGGGATTACATATCCCAGCTGGCTTCGGAATGCCCTCGGATCCCCCAGGAGGAGCAGGAGAAAGTGTCAAGGGAGCATGTCTGGGCTACCTCACTTAGCCCCCGCTACTACCACAACCTCAACCCAGAAAAGCAGCAGAGAATGGATGGATGGATATCTCTCTGCAGCTACAGTCCAAAAATACTAAATATAAATAGCTGGGCTCACAGAGAGGAGTACAGTGAGGCTGACTGGCCTTTTCTACAGTACATCATTTAGACTGAGCAATATGAGCTTCGGGAGAAAACCTGCCATGCCAGAGAAACTGAAACACTCATAATTCCAAGTGGCATACTGACCTGTTTTTGGCTGACATCATACCCCTCTGTGAAGGGCAGCGTGTGTTATCTGTATCTACTATGCTACCAAAGCCATAGTTGTTACTCATTTTAACATTGAGACAACGTGGTGCTAAGCTGGGTGCTGAGCTACGACCTGTATTGAGCTTGCTCCAGCAACCAGCATTAGGACTGGCTGCCATTAATGTTTTACATTTTCTAATAACTGCACATTTCCTCAAGCATTGCTGGCAATTTCCTTACTGCGGTTGCATGCTGGGATAATTTCCTTCCATGCCTCCCCCCCCTCTCCTTCCCATTTCCTTACTAATCGCTGGGGTGCCTATTTTTTGTGTCGATACACAATTAGACACACTTTAGACCTTATTAGACCTGATAAAATTGTGTTTAAGGGAATTCCACCTCAGAACTGTTTGTCTAATAAAACTTTACAGACGTGTTTGGGTAAATGTCAAATCAAAGCATCCTTTATCTGCCACAACTGTGTGAATGTCTTATAAGCCAAAAGCAGTTTCACTAAACTATTCCTCATTTTGCTGAGGCAGCCCCCCTAAAATCTCCCACCGGTCCCTGGGGACATTTAGATCCTACATGTACAGTGGAGTGTGTCTGTGCTGGTGTTAATGAGCACTAAAATGTGATGTTGGTCATGTACTCTTCAGCTCCCTGTAGGAAATGAACGGACATTATCACATCACCTCCCACCGGAGCACAAATTCACACTCGCCCTTCAACGCACTGTCCCGACCTTACGCACCCTTTCACACATAGACACATGGTGAAAATGACGCACGCTCTGGGTCCTACAACAGGTCAGCAGACTCGGTCAAACTGCCGCCAGGGCTTGGTGGGAAAACAACGACATCCAAGCCGAACAGTCGGCGATTCCCACATTGTTCATGTAAAAGAACCCAACGGAGAGATGTTGCAGACCGTCAAGGAATAAGGTTTTGTCTGAGGAAGCACCAACTTGGAAGCACCCAGCGAAGGATGGCAGATAATAATGACACTAACAGGGACATTAATCTGGTATTTCCCCCAGCAAAAATATACCCTAATAGTAATCTTGCATCCAAGTTTGGAAACCACTGCCAAAATTTTGAGGTACTTCACTTGAGCATTTTCATTTTCTGCTGTTGTATACATCTTTTACTCCATTTTCAAGGCAAACTATCTGACAGCTGGAGTTACTTTGCAGATTAAGAGTTTACATACAAAACATATGATCACCTTTAAAATTATGATGCATTTTTCCATCCTTCTTACCAGGTGATTTTGGTCTTTAATTGAGTCTATCAGAGATTTAACAGTAGATAAAGTGGTTAAAACTTGACCAGCTACAACAGTCAAATGCTGCTCACACATACATGCATCAGGACTTTTACTTGTAGTGTTTTTACATTGCTGTATTTACTTCAATGTGATCGTCGCTTCCACCACTGCATAAGGCTGATTTCCAACATGCTGGAGGTCCAATGAAAAGGAAGGGTGGGTGGGTCCTTTGCACAGATGTTACAAGCTTTCATTATCTGTTAATACTACTATCTTTAGAGGCGTGGGTATATTCCGAGCAATCAGCCACTGTCCCCGGCTATTTTACAGGAAACAATGATGTGTGTTGTTTCTTATTCTATGTACATGTTACTCAGAAACGTCAGTAACTGCATCTTACCGTCTAAATTCTCCCTGTCGCTGATGTGCTGGAGGTTGCAGCCCGTGTCCTCCCGGCTCAGCTCCGGCTCGGGTCGGTAGGGTTCGAGCCTGGAGTGGTTGTTCCTCCGGTGTTTGGGGCTGGAGGACACGCAGCAGGAGGTTGTGTTCCCCATGGTGAACGCAGGCTTTGGTTATAGTCCAAACCCAACACGGTACCTTCTTCAGCCTCCTTCTCCCGGCCGTGCTGTTAGCGTTACTACAGGAGAGAAAAAACGGGGCGGTAACGCGGATAGTCAGACCTGGTGCCAACAAACTACAAACGCCCGGTATCCGTTAGCGTTACACGCCCTTCCCTCGAGTCTAAAATCTGCGTATCCGCACAAGTGCAGTCATTTAAACAGCTGCTAAAACGCCGAAGTGGGCTCTTAAATCAGAAGAGCAGCCCAACGTCCCTACCAAACGTCCAGGCGAGGGCAGATAGTGCCTCTGCGTTACAGGCTTCGGTTTCACACTCGACTCCCTCGCCTTGTAATTTCCGTGTGGACGTCCAGTTCTCCTCAGAAACACATTCTGATGCACGGCTACTTTATGGCAACATGAATAAACGTGAGGTCGTTATACTTTAGCTAGTCGGGGGAAGATATTTTTGCTCTCAGCGCTACATGGTTGCCGATGTACTGTGGACTGCTGCCGCTACATCCGCTGCCGCGTTGCTTTCAGGTACTCCTCGTTGTGTCGGATTTTCGCCTACGAATTTAGGAAATAGCTTCCCACTTTAAAATGCATTCGGTATAGGGTTTTTTCAGCCACCCACAACGCCTGAAATAAAATGATGAAAATAATGATGTAATAAAAGAAGAAAAAAGGAAATTAAACTCAACTTTTGAGGTAATGTGTGTCCCTTGTAAGTTGTTACTTTAATACAAAGAAAAACGTACAGTAGCAGTGTTATTTTTTTACTCTCAGTTAGTCACCCTGTGTTAGTTTTTTTAATATATATATAATATAATAATTATATTATAATATATTATATATTATATATATCTTTACAACATTGTGGGAGAAGGGTCTATTTGAAATTACAATATTAGGGCAGCACGTAAACATATCTTAAAAAACCCACAGCGCTGTGGCTGTTATGGAAAAGGTTCCGGTTCAAGTGGGTGGTTACAACTGTGTAATAAATGGACAATTATGACAGTCTCTAGGGGGGTGCAGTGAAATAACAACAATATAAAATGTCACAGAATAGAAAAATACCCTTTTAAGGCTTCAGGTGGATCTCTGAAGTCTCTCAGTGATTTGTTCCATTTCACCAATATGCATTTATAGTCTGTATAATAACAATACATTATGGAGATATAGCAGTTTGTTCTTGCTTTAACAGGTGGGTGAACACTACTACTGTATATCCCTGGGTTATGACATGCTATGCAGCCAAACTTGGACAATCTGTCATTTCCTTCTTACCCATATTTGTGTGTGTGCCAATAAATTATTTGATCTTGACTGATGACTGACAAATGCATTGGGCTTTGAGTCGCCTGTGACACAGTGAAATGACGGGTCATACTAAATCTCTCTGCAGGATTAAAAGGGATTAGTAGAAGTTTAACATAAACAAAGTCATGTCCCGAGGAAAAGCCTAATCCTGTGACATGTTTCCTTGACGTGCGAGACAATATGTACACGTTGATGCCTCAGACTATCACTGATGATGCTGGACACTGAAGAATGTGTGAGAATTGCTAGGCTTTCTGCATGATTACGTTGGTTGCATGATCAGGCATGGTGCTGTAGTGCAACCTGCTGGTACTGCCGCTGCATTGCATTAATGGAAAAAGGAGACACCCACATCAAAGCCTGCTAAAGTGGGTTAAAAAAAAAAGGTATTGTGTGATCTGAAAGACCACCTGTTATAAACCAACCTTTATCCTGTGAAGGTGAGACTCTTTTAACCCACTCGTTACATGTTAAAACCTTAAGGAAGATACACATACAATTGTTTCAGCTCTGCGAACCGATCACAGAGTAGCTGTGTGAAGCATTTGTGACATGTTTTAAATGTAGTTTTCTAAAAGCACAAATAATTCTATCTGCTATGATTAGTATTTAAAGGCTGTGTGTAGTCTATGACTACACTCGAACAGTATTTCCTTTTCCCTGACGGGTGTATTCCACACTGTAGTTTTGTCTCTGTCTCTGAGTTGTTTTCTTGTTATACACTGGACAGGAATAAGGTTTCACAATAGGCCCAGGTGCAGTGAAAGTCTCAGTGGTATTGGATTCTTTTTGTCAGTTGTATTGTTTACATGATGTGTCCCTAACAAACTGCACATGTGGAGTGACAGCGCAGGAAACACACAGCAGTGAAGATGTAGCACAAAAAAGAATAGACATTTTGAAGGTGTTCCAAAGTATTATAATTAATCCAATCCATTCCTGTCGTATCAGGATTTGTTTTGGGTCCTTCTGTAAGTTGGTCAATATCTGACACTTTTCCTTTTACTGCAACACTTTCGGGACTATTGGAGAATTTAATTGTATCCATCAAGTCAGAGAATGCCATCACTGAAAACCAGGCCAATCTTTCCTTCCCCTCTGCACATCCACATTCCTCTGGATGTGATTTATGGAAAATTTGTTTAAATACTTCCCCTTCTTCCAGCATGCAGTGTGCTATTGTAACAGTGTGGCTGGCAATGTGTCTGTCCATCTACAGAAGGCAACAAAATCTGTGAGAGAGCATTATTTGCTTTGCTTCCTAGTGACAGCCCTGGCAATCAAGTTGGTTCATCACTGAAGAGACAGCACATGGCATTCCGAGCAGAAACCCAAGGTCGAGCCTCAGCCTGACAATAAAAGCTTTATCAAACACTTGTAATGGAACTTTTGCCTTAGTGACTCACTTGTTACAACTTGCTTAACAAATGCTAGTCATGTAGGGGCTTTTTTGCTAACAGAGCCCTGAATGTGCCCCAGACAACAACACAGAGAGACTGAGCAAGAACTTTATTGAAGAGAATACATTTAAAAAATATGTCTATAAGACCTTTTGAATAAGGTGTGATCAGAACAAGACAATGGCTAAGGTATTACAGAGGAGAAATTATGCACCGACAAAGACATTTCTAATTAACCACATTCAAAATGATAGTTAGATAAATAACTTCTAAATTCAACCATGTATACTGAGACAAAACAAAAACAGTTAAAAACAGTGAGTTAATACAATTTCCACAAAAGCCTGTATTCTTGAACTAAATATACACTCATTCATATTAAGATAAATACGTTTTTTTTTTCCTTTTTGTATGTAAAAACCATGCACTGGTATTCAAAACTCTAAAAAATGCAGCTAGGGTAATAAATAAGACATGCCACAGGTTAGAAGCAGATGCACAACAGATCCTGGTAGGTCTCTTACATTAAATACAAAGTAACGTGGGTGATAAGTGCAGTGGTAGGTGTTAATTCCTGGTCATGTGCTTGCATCAGGATTTCTGAGGTGGAATAAAATGAATCATTGCTACGTGAAGCCCCGAGGACCCGATTCCCTTTTAGAACATTTGGCTTTTTGCAGCATTTCCTGAACAAAACAGCAAAACAGACCATCATAAAGACAACTGATATGGCATTTTAATAGAGCCAAATTATAAAACGGAGCATAAAGGAATGTCAAATGCAGTGCAGTTAAGGTGGTAACGGCAAAGGCGTAAGTGGATCTAGTTTTTGGGTGCTCGGGTTAGTGAGGCGCTCCAGCTGGGCCTTCTCCATCTCCAGTAAGGCGTTGCGAGGTTTGCAGATGGTCCATATAGTCCCTCATTCTTTTCCGGCTACTTCTGGTAGCCTCCATTTTCAAAGGGACATAAACTCCTCATAGTACTCGCTGATAATAACCCTGACCTGAAACAAAGTTCTTGTTTTGTTTTTTTGCTGGTGGTGGCGTGAGGATAATTCAGAGCCAGAAACATTGACATCATCGTGTAAACACATTTAACAGCAAGGACAAGGAGTGTTTTGTGATAGTGTGTGTTTATTTGTGTGTGTTTGTGTGCATGTGGGTCTGTATAAGCAAAACCAGAGTCCTCAAGACACCGTCACAGAAGTACACCACTAACAAACACAATCCCCGGCTCCTCTTCCAGTCAGAGGGATCACTCCACTTTGTGTCGATAGATGTCCTTTAAGGCTCTTAGCTCCTCAATCAGAGTTTTGTTTTGATTTTCGAGCACGGCCACGCGATTTTCGAGGCATTTGACATATTCCTTCTTCTTTCGTCGACACTCCCGGGCGGCTTCCCTGGAAGCAAAACAACAGTTACCGTGAAAAAGAAGCCTCAACATCTTGGCTTTTCTCCCAGATACAACACAGCAGCCTTTTCTCGACATAAATCAGTTTATACCGAGGGGAAAATGAGGGCTCACATTACAAAAATGACAAAAGCTCCTCTCATGTAGGGCACCAGAATGTTTAGATGACGAGGATTATAAACGTGTTTGTGACATTAGATACCTCCGGGACAGGACTTCACATAATCAAGTCAAGCAAAAGATGTCATGAACAAAAAGGAAAGAAATAAATAAATAAGCAACCAAGAAGATTTACTGATTGTAGTAAAATGATCACATGGGAGGACAGGGGACATGCAAACAAGAAAAGTGGGTGTCGGTGCCAGTAATGACACAAGGTTGTTTACAGCAAACACACAGTAACCTCAAGGCCTTCAACAGACAGTGACGTTCAAAACAGAGGTGATCAATTTTGCTCACCAGCGAACCGGACTCATTCACATACAACTGACTTACACACACACACACGGTCGAACACTTGTCAGCTCACTCTTTACTCCACACATACGTTGCAGAGCAGATAATGGAGAGTCACACAACCTAAGAATTAGCAGCTTAACCCTGGATGGATGAGAATCATGCGGTGGAATGATGATAGGCTTGTGGATCTTATTATTACACGCAGTTATTGTCATCCATTGTCATTTGGTATTTGCTAGGTGTTTGTGAACACAACAGTGAATGTGTCCAATAGAGCCAGACCAATGTGTTTAAGGCCAATACTGATATTTGAGAGTTTGAGAACAATTTACTGGCCAATACTCTATTTTTCAACATAGAACATAGAATGTACTCAGTGGGACATTTTACAGTTGAAAAAGTTTGCATCGGAAAAACTCTTGTTGCTCTATCATAAACAAGATATAACATATAACTTGGTGAGCTTTAAATGTGCTGGTACAGTAGGTTTCCAATCGTTATGCTAAGCTAAGCTAATCAGCCGACTGTAGCTGAAATATTTCCCTAAATGTTGAACCATTGATTTAAAATACCTCAAACTATCTTTGGCATTCTACTTTTGCAATTTCACGTCAATTATGAGCCAACATAAACGCTGATACCAGTATAATAAAGCTAATAGTAACTAATAATAGGGTCCAATGTCCAAGCTGATGAGTGTTAATGGTCCACTCTACCTGTTCTTCATCAATCGGAGCTCCCTCTTTTGTAAGGCTCCCTCTATGGGTTTTTGGGAGCTATGAGCGCTGGACCCCGCCACCCCCTGTGGGAGGCTGGAACTGGGGTTGCGCAGCTGGCAGGCAGTCAAGTCACTTGTGGTGCCTGGGGAAACACAAAATAATACGTCAGTCAACAGGATTGGGTTGCACCAGCGTTCAAAGTTCCAAGCAGCTACTAGCTAATTTAACTGGGTTGCGCCAGTGGCTTAAAGGTTCATTTAGGAGGATCTACTGGCAGAAATTGAATAAAATATGAATAACTATGTTTTCAATTAGTGTATAATTTTGATTATTATTATATTATATGATTTTTCGCCCTTTTGCAGCCACTGTAGTTTGATGCAGCAGAGTTGTGATGTGCAACTGTACCGCTAGATGCCACTAAACGCTACACACTGGTCCTTTAAGAAATGTCTTCTCAAACAGGAAGGTGACCCACAGTGCTGTAGATATAAATGGATTATAAGGTAACAAAAACACAGCAATTCTTATTTTCACGTGATTATACACTAATGAAGACATAGTTATTCCATTTCTGCAAGTAGATCCTCCTAAATGTTACACACTGGCTCTTTAAGTAATGTGTAACTCAGTTGTTACAAAAACAACTGTGCCGCAGTCCAATCCAGTGATTCACTGTGTAACCAAGAAGTCACTGCAGCATCTCAAGCTGTAACATAACTGCAATACATAACAGTTTAGGAGGCTGAATGTTATATTAAAGATGACTGGCCTTTTTAAATGTAGTTACATCAATATGTGTTAGATGTGTTCAGGCAGATGAGTGGGAATGATGCTAATCTTATTATTTGCTAATAACCCTGTAGCAAGCTACTGTGATGTTATTTTTATGTTATTTGGTCAGTTAGCCATATAACAGTTACACCTGGCTTATATTATTAGTAAAAGAACTAATCTCACGCAAGAACTAGTTTGTGTGTTGCAACCTGTTAAATTAACTTAGTAGTAGTTAATAATTGGCAAATATTCACTTAATAAACACTTCACAACTACAAGTAGTTTATGTTTAAATTTGAATCTGGTGTAACCGCTGTTATTTTCAGTTTAGCAACAGATACAAATTATGACACAGAGCCAAAATAATCCTGTTCACATAACTTTTGTTCTTATACACCACAAACTCTTGTTCTGAGGTTGCATTACAATGAGAGTACAACCAAAAACACTGTAAAGTCACTGTAGTTTAAATGATTTTCAGATTTTTCAGATTTCAGAGATTTCACATGTTCTTTCAACGTGTGCTGTGAAATGTAGCGCCGCATATGAAGCTGTGGTAAATAAATAATAATAAATAGATATAATTAGATTTATTATATTATTGTCTTGACTATTATCAAACAATTATGTGACACTGGACAAGAGAGATTGTGCCATTCTTATCCACTTCTTCCCTTCTGTTCACTGTTTGCTCAGTGCCAGTGGAACTCACTGTCCCTCATATCATGTAATATGCCGATGATTAATTCTGTGATATGTTGGAACTGCAAAAGGAACAGAATATAATCACAGAGTGGCCAGTGACTGACGTCAATGCACGTCTTATTCGCTGGTTCGCATTTACATGTCGCTGCTGGGGGCTGTTCCAGGAAAAGCAGCGACGTCAGCTACTGCTGCTATGTGCTCTGAGTGGGCAGAGCATTGAAGCATTTCACAGAGAGAGAGGGAGAGACAGGGAGAGAGGGAGAGAGCGAGAGACGAATGAGAGGGAGAGGAGAGAGAGCGGAGGAGGAGAGCGCGCCGAGAGAGCAGAGGGAGAGAGAGTGATCCGCGAGGAGAACGACGAGAGTGAGGGAGAGGAGGGAGAGAGAGAAACAGAGATGAAGAGTGTGACTGAGGATTCAAGCAGACACTGTGAAACATTTTCTAATCGGTATAAGCTCGTTGCAGCTGATGGTGGAAAATGGAAGTTTTCAATGAATCATTTGCTACCTTTTTAGAGGAGCCTGTGATGTTATTTGAGGGAATTTGAGAGGCTTTCTAATAGTTGTTTGTTAAAAAGATACTGAAAAACATAAAAATATGTAATATCTGAAAAGCCACTCACAATAATCAGGATTTTTCAAGTTTTTCAACTGCTAATTTTCCCATGTAGATTGTTGACATTAATATCCACTAAGTATATTTTCAGAGATTCCTAAAAAGAGCATCTCAACTGAACAGCAGTGTGAAAGAAGCCCTATTTTTTTAGATCTGGAAGTGAAAGAAATGATAGCAAACATACCTGTTTCTGTCTCATCCCCAGTTACAGCCATACTGTATCTACTCCCAGCTTTTCCAAGACCAACTGTCCCCTTCAGAGTCTTCTCTCTGACTGAAATGTTACCACAGCCAAAAGCGAGGCTATGTGTGCAATTTACAATTAGAGGCATTGACATCACCATGACATCACTGGCCTCCTGATGTCAACAGTATGGTTTGCTCTCTCCCCGACACAGCGCTATGAGTCAGGGGCTCTGCTGTTTGTCTTTGGAGAAGGAATTTTTCTCCGGCTGGAGAGGAAGACAACACTGAAGAATATGGCTTGTTGAACATGGACAGTTAGTAGAGGCATAGATGATTTGGACTTACTAAAACCCTTTTTTACAGTTAAAACTTCATTGTGTAAACCATAACATTTGATGACATTGTGTGTACTCTCATTGCTATAATCACAATATGTCTTCATAAAAGTAATTGCAAAAACGGATTTATTACCTCAGTATTAAAGACATTTCAAGCCCATTATCCCCCCCCCCCCCCCCCCCCCCCCCCCACTGCATTTTCACTGTATGTCCAAGGAAGGCTCATTAAGTGACAAACATTCATGTGAATAATACCTTAATCCCAAAACACCTGCACTACAAAGCCAGGTTACTCATACATATTTTATTATGTGCATGTATGTGTGGCCACTGTCACGGCAAAACATTATCCCTCAAGTGACTCACTTCATACGCAAATCTTAAGGAGCTGGCTCCCTCTGCAGGCATTACTGAGGTTAATAGAAGAGATAAGTTGCCTTAAGGAAAAAGTGTTGACGTCCTATGTTTTGTTTGGAAATTCCCAAGACACAGTGAGACAGTGATGTAGGAAGTACTCAAATCCTTTACCAGAATCAAAAGCAGCAATGCCACACTGTAAAATAGCCTTGTTACAAGAGCCCCATTTGGTGTTAGGCTACCATATTCTACTGTATACCATTATATTATTATTACTGATGTCAATAATGGGAGTAAGCACTGGCATTTTTTTTCCAACACTTGTTAGATTGGTTGTGCTTGCAGGGGGCCTCATTTTAACTACTTTATATACTGTTAGGTAGTTTTATCTATAAAAATGCACATATTTTACTATCTCATCACATGTTTTATGTACAATCTTAATCTATAAAGTAATTAGTTACTATAGCTGTCATATGTGGCGAACACAGTACAATATTTCCCCCTGAACTATAGTTGGGTAGCAGTGTAAATTGAGGAGAAATGCTCAGGTAAAGTACAGTTACCTCAAATTGTAACTTAAGTGCACTACTTGAGTAAACCTGCAGTGAAATCAAATCAAATCGAATCAATACTGAATAAAGAGCAATTTGTCAGCATATAGGTTTATACTGACTCTATTCATGTGTGTTTCAGTCTGCAACAAAAAGCAATTGATTAATGATCTCTGTAACAGATGAACTAGTTCATATTTGCCTCATGTTTCATATAGATGTAATATGTTTTGTTATGAAATATATTAGGAGCATCCCTATCAGACATTACCAACTCCGGTGCTCCTGTAGACATTTGTTACAGGAGGTAGAAGGCTGCAGAGCGAACAATGGCCTTGCTCATCCAATATGTGTCCCTTTCTGTGTGAATTAGTGTCCCTGTTTGTTTTCCCTGAATGATCATTTTGTTTCATAACAGTATAATCATTTTCCTCTGACATTTACAGAGGTGATGTGGGAAATCCTGAGTGACTGTTACTGTTTTCTTGTTTCTTAAACTTGTTTGCTACCCTGTGTTACCTGGGAATATTGGCTTACCATTGTTCCGTGGACCATCCAACATCTTCCTGTTGTACTCAAGGGGTCTCGGTGCAGGCTGTGGTGTCTGTTTGCTGTTTGTGGCCGTAGCTGGCAGGTTCTGTATTCCCTCCTGCAGGAACCTGACGGGTCCTCCTTGAGAAAATCGGACTAGGTAGGTAAAAAGGTAAAGGGACCAAGTAAATAAATAAGTAAGATACAGTTCTGAGACCATTGCCTTGGTTGTGGGCAATGGCAGGGGTATCCACGCACTGAAAAAGCTTGTCCTATGGTGGGGAAGACATTGGAGCACTCAGAAGCATATTCTAGCCATATTGCTGTGAAGCCCCATGCTGCAACTGACACTTCTATAATACACACAAGTCTGGTTATCAAGTGTTACCTGGCATTTGGGGCATACAATATTGCTGCATGCGTTTCAGCGTCCCCCCGTAGTACTGAAGGGTGCTTGATAAAGGCTGTGGTGTTTGTGTGCCGGTCATGGCCACAGACGGCAGCTTCTGTGTCCCTTCAGACAGGAACTTGACAGGACTTTTTTGAAGAAACCCAACTGGGATGGTGAAAGGTAAGTAAGGTAAATAATCATAGATTATGTCAATTACACAGTCTGTGATTGTGGCATCAATAAAGTTTCTACTCTTTTTATATAGTATCCTGTAAAATTCTTAATGTAACCGTTTATTAATGGTTAAGATACAGCTTTCTGAAATACAAATAAAAAGGAGTTTTAAAAATGTCACCATCATCAAACACTGCAAAAAAGTCAGAGATGGGTTGAATGTGCTTACGAGACATTGAGCAGTGTCTGTCAACCCATTATATATATAGTGCTATGTCTTTTAGACTTTATCAGTGTTTGTCTTTCATGTCTGTTTTTGAAATATGAAATATGATTTTGAGACTGTTCCACTCATCAAATAACTAAGCAGTATTAAATGGCTTTTGGCTGGTAAGAGATTTGAACTCCTAGCAAACTTAAAACATAGACATTTCCCTCAAAGGTTATCTTAAAACAGCAAGAAGAAGGGTAAATATTGGACTGACACTGTCAGGTGGACATAAACACAACTCCTATTGGATGATAATGTTGCTCCATGTCTGCTGGATGTGAACATAGATAACTGTTTAACAACATATCAGCTATAACAACTTCATACACCAGGAGTGTGGTGGTGGCTGTTATTTCAGAAATGAAGTCATTTTGTCTACCTGTTTTATTATTATTATTATTATTATTATTATTAGCAGTAGTAGTGGTAGTACTATTGTTGCAGCTGTGGTAACGACAACGCTGTTAGTAGTGGGAGAGGCAGTAGACTGTGAATGTTCAGACAGGCTTACCATGCTGGTTGTGGCTGGTTTGCAGGTAAACAGGTGTATGAACGTAGGGCACAGGTGCACCTGGCTGATATTTCTGTTCTGACATCACTTGGTTCATTCTGACAGGCACTGGTTGGGGCTGCTGATCAGGGTGTTCACTCTGGGTTCTCCTCAGGGATTAGGGAGGGTTAGAGTTAGGGTTCTCGTGTGTTCTTAAACTGTGGACAGAAAAGGCCGTGTTAGGCTACATTCAGACTGCATGCCTTAGTGCGCTTTGTTCACACTGTCTTGGAAAGGTCAGATCTGTGTCACGTTAAAGGGAAACAATCAGACGGGATCACTTTGGCCTGCAGGCTAAACACAGACTTAGATACAGTAAAGACAATTAAGTGAGAGTTGCTCCTGAGCTGCCATTATCTGCTTTGCCACCTCTTAATCCTGCCCTTGCCAGTATCCTAAATAGGTTTATCCTTTTATTTTACTAGTTAAATAATAGCTTGAACAATGATTCAGACTTGATGACTCAACCAGTTCCCGGAGCTTACTGAGTAAAGGAGGAGTAGGGAGGTAACTTGTTAGAGCGTTCAACTATTGATTTTTGAGGGTACCTTACATTAACAGTGCCATTTCCTGTTTGAAGAAGTAAAGTTACAAACACTGGCCTTGGATGGCTCCCTCTGCTGGTTCAGCCAAGTAGCTAAGTTAGCTAATGAGGGGATTTCTCCATTGTTTAATTGTAACGTTAGGTTAAGTGTGAGAAGTAGTTTCACAAAACTAGTTGGCTGTTAAATGTCATTAAGGCCCTTAACCTGTCAAAATGTAGCTGTTGAATAATAATAACAGTAATAATAAATATATTACACCAATGGGTGATTTCAGTCAAGCTACCTAAAACTGATATTTTAGCCCACTGTCTATCTTTAAGTTCTTCAAAACGAATAAGTTAGCTAAGTTACCTAGCATTAGCGTTTAATAACTCGTTAGCTAGAAGTTAACTTATTTCTACCGTCGGTCAGTTAATGAATGAATGAATCATGCTGTACCTGTTGTGAGGCTGTTTGTCTGATGAGCTTGAACAATACAAAAAATATTAAGCTTCGCGTAAATTTGTATTAATTGTGTTTATAACTTACTTGGCGTTATTTAAAATATTAGCTAATTCCAAGGAACGTTAGGCAGTCATTTTTTAGACGGTTCTGATTGGTTGATTCTCCTTCTATTCGTACGTACGTAAGTAATTACACACACACACACTCTTATGGTTCTTTAAGGTTCCAGTGGTTTAAGAAACGTCATTCGCCACTCACACAATTATTTGCAAACGACTTTCAATCTGTTGTTGATATTTGTCTTCCACATCTGTAATGTTAGTGTCAATTATAGTGAGGAATTCATGTAAATAAAAAAATTATAGGACATTGAAAACTTAAACAGCTGATTGTTGAATTACTGCAGATGCATACGAAGTGTGTAACTGACAGTGAGACAAAGTGTTTAACCATCTCTACTCAGAACAGAGACGAACTACATTTAAACCTACAGAATGTCTGTGGTTATGTTTTTAATACTCAATTCCTAAGAGGTTTCCGTAGTTTTAGGCGATACCATGGACATATGGGTGAGCTCATGACTTTGATCCGTGTGAGTCTGATTTTAATCTCATCAGTGTGCATGGACATGGAATACATTATTAAAAAAAACAAAAACATTTTCAAGTCATTTCACCATGGTGCAAAGCAAAAACGCTTTACAGCCAATTTACGTGTGTTCATAATACACCCCCATGTAATACAATGGTATAATCCATGAGGTAGGGAAGACCTGTAAGTGAGACAAATCAAGCCTGTGACAGCGGAGAAACTTGAGTTTTATAGCAAATAAATCCTGAACACAGGTACGTACTATTCAGTCCACGCTTGACCTCAGTAACCTTTCCTGTTTAAACAATAGCAACATGTTTTGCCGAGCTGTCAGTACAAATGTGGGGAAATTGCACAGATGTCCATTTGCTAGCGGTAGCTGAGCTATCGTTAGCACCCTGCTAGCCGCTAGCCGCTAGCCGCCGAGAACTGTTGGGACTGGAGCAGGAAGAAGTAGCATACGAGCTAGAGGCTAGCTAGCGTTTTTTAGCTAGCCATCCTATTTTGGGATTGGCATTCCGCTAGCTAGTAACCTTAACTCCGCTGCTTTCATCATGACTGTAGGACGGCTGTTTGTTTAGTAACGTTAATACTTCCCCGCGAAGGACGGATATCGGCGTATGTGAATGTGTTAGCAGGAGAAACTGTATATGATGATGTTGCAATGTTTTCTCTGACGTGAAATCAACTGGTATGAATGACGAGAAACAACACAGGGCCTAACGTTAGTTTCTCTTACTTGCAGGTAATCTGTGATTCTTCTGGCACAGATGTAGAAATGTCTATATTATTATACGCAGGAGTTTAACCCGGTAAATTGCACAGCTACAACAGTAATAATACCCGATATGTGTTCGCTGCTGATGGACGTTAGTATTAGCTCCATGAACTTGAGCACAGTGTTTATCTCATCTGTTGCTACCATAATAATGTGAGCAGCTGTTTTGAAGCAGGCTATTTATCGTTCTGTTGATGCACATGTTCACTTTGACCTGTATCTTGACAGCTGTGTAACTGGTTACTCTTGATTAATTATATTTTTTTAAATGATTAATGTTGTTTTCAAAATTATCAAAAAACAACAACAACAAAGTTTGGCATCATTTTGTAATTGCTGTATATTCAGTGTCACACGCTTCATAAAAACATGTTCATCGTTATGTTTACTGTGCCACCTTCACAAGGATAATTGTGTCTTTCCTTTGTGTTGCTATTGCCACTTAGGCCTGTTCACTACTAAAATGTAATCCATTATCCTAGGGGATACTATGATTGTTGTAACATCCCAAAACTACTGATAACACATAATGAAAGTAAAACTGAAGCCAAGCAATGTATCTGTTTATGTAATTCATTGACTCACTTCTGTGTTCATGTGTTTCTTTTTTCTGTCAGACTGAAAGAGAAATTGTACAATGTCCTTAAAGCCGCGGGTGGTGGATTTTGACGAAACATGGAACAAACTACTGACGACAATCAAGGCTGTTGTGATGCTCGACTATGTGGAGAGAGCCACGTGGAATGATCGGTTCTCGTATCCTATTACAACTTGCTCCATATGGACATTTTAATTACAGCACAAGGTTTTTGCTGAGCTTCATAGCAAAGTTTATGGACAGGGAGTCACACAAGCAGCTCAGTACAGTAAACCAGCTGACGGCTTGCCTTGCATAGAACTTTATGTATTTTAAACACCAAATGTGGCTAATTCCGATAGGCACTGATAGTTTTCATAGTTTGTTTACCCATCAGTTTTTAAATAGTTGTAATATTTAATATGTTAAATGTCAGTGTAAAATGAAGAACTGCTTGTTGAGAATTGTAGGGACTCACTCACTAACATTGCAAACGCTGTATCTAGTATTACATACATACTACATCTTCATTAACTGTATATTTACATCAGTACATCCTTAAGTTGTGATTGTCCTCATTATTTATCCTGAATTCTGACAACAGTGACATTTATGCCTTGTGCGTTGCATACCCAGAGCCTTTGGGTGAAAGATTATACACAGAGACCAAGGTGTTCCTTGAGAATCATGTCCGGCAGTTGTACAAGGTAAGCACTCACGAAAGCCGCTGGCAGAGAAAAATGTATAGAGTGTATTTTCTGTTATCTAAGCATTATGCTTCTTTCCATGACCCCTGTCATGCTTGTGTGTGTATTTTAGAAAGTCCTGGAATCAGAGGAGAAGGTTTTAGTGATGTACCACAGATACTGGGACGAGTACAGCAAAGGAGCCGACTACATGGACTGCTTGTACAGGTAACACTGCTGCCTTTTATGTCCTTGATGCACTTGATGTACGGATATAGTGTATATGATATCAGCGAGTCGCTATGCTGAGTCACCATTTAGTGCTGTATTATTTCACTTCCACTAGTATTTTTTTCCTAAACAAAAGACTACATTTAGAAAAATGAAGCAAAACGTTTTTTCATGCCAGTTTAATTGTTTTAAAGAGACATAGCATCAGTTTGTAGTCTCTTTCCTTAAATTCACTATGGTGTTTTTTAAAGTACGAATGAAGGACAAGCCTGTATTCAGCTTGCTGTTGTCAGTGTGGTGTGT